TTTTTTTTTCCGGGGCAACTTTTAGCCCGAAAGTTAAAGAAAATGGCTGCTCTGCAGTATAATTGCTGTCTGTTAAATCAGCCTCTACAGCTAACTCGGTGGCCGGACCGGTAAGTCCACCCGAGCGACGTAGCCGGCTCCGCGCTCGCCCATCGCGCCCTGCCCCGGCCGTGTATCTCGCGTCGCTGCTGCTTTTTCGGGGCTCCTGATCCCACTTCGGCTCTGGCCTGCGCGGACGCAGCGATTTACGCTTGAACAATTCCTAACGTTTCTCCAAGAGCAGCCGAGGAGCAGGCTTTTAATTAATTTGGCCTGTGCGGAGATCGTGGAGCATCTACATTTTTGTCATTCTCCAGATTGCCGGGAACCCCAAAGAAACCCGCACAGATGCTCTTTGTCTGGAAGGGACCCATCTTTAATTAATTACAGTTTACAAAGCGATTAGCGGATTTGCTCGCGCGTCCTGGGGAATAGTCTTCAGCCGGGGAGGGTTTGCAGAGGGCGCGCGGCATTTTTCGTGCATGACGCTCCCTGCTTCTACCTCCCGGCGAGCTCAGCCCTGCGCTGTCCCTAGCGCTGTCGGGAATTTCCACGTGAGACGGCACGTTTGCAGGACGAGGATGCAAACGGGGAGGGGGAAATCGCCCGCCTTTCCCTGCCCCGTTCCCGACTGCCGACCCAGCGGCTTTGCGCCCCCGCGGGGAACGGCTCGGTTGGCCCCCGTCTGCCCTGTGAGCGCAGGGCACAAGGCAAGCAAAGAGCATCCAACCAGAAAACTCTTCATTTCAAGCATCGTTTCCATTTAAAAAAAAAAAAAAAGTATTTCTGCGGGACACCTGGAGCTTGATCCTTGCGGGGAAAATTTGTTCAGCTTTGTCGAAATGAGGGATTCCCGCTTTGTAGCCACGGATGGTCCGGCTCCGGCTGGCAGGGGGTACTTTAATAGCAGACGCGGTGCTGGAGAACCGAGGGAGCAGAAATCGGGATTTTTTTTCCTCTGGCCGCCGCTTCCCAGCCTGCAGGAAGGAGCTAACGCAGCCCCGCTGCCGGGCAGCTCCGATTCCCTGTCCCGGGGGTGGGGGGGGAGAGCTGCGTTTCCGGTGGAAAATATTCCGGGATGAACAAATTGGAAGGATGCTGGCGGTGTCCCGTCCAGCCTGAGCTCACGCGGAGCCCGGCCAGGGCGCTCTTCCCCGGCACCCCGGTCCCCCGCGTCCGGGGAGCAACCGTCTGGCGGCGGAGGAGCCCCGTCCCTCGCAGGGTGGAGCTCGGGGGGTACCGCTGGGTTCGTTTCCCGGCCCGGCACCGCTTTACGTGTGTCGGTTCGCACGCTCGCGTCGCCTTTACGTTGCCGCGGGGCTGTTTTGCTCGAGCACCTGGAAGCCTTTCTTTACGGCAGGGCTCCTTTTATTTT